CAGACCTCTGGAATAACAGCTAGTGCTCTTAATCCCTGAGTCATCTCTCCAACCTGTTTTTTTTTTTTTTTTTTTTTTTTTTTTTTTTTTTTTTTTTCTTAAATTGATAAAGGGTTTCTCTGTGTATCCTTGGCTGTTCTGGAACTTGCTCTGTAGACCAGGCTGTGTTTGAACTCCGAGATCCTGAGAGCATGTGCCACTATTGCCTGGTGAGCGTGAACTTTTTTTTTTTGAGAAAGGGTTTCTCTGTATAGCCCTGGCTGTCTTGGAACTCACAGACATCACCTGCCCCTGCCTCCCTAGTGGTGGGATTAAAGGTGTACAGCACCATTGCCTGGAGAGGCTGAACTTTTAAAATGTTTGAATTTTTAAGACTGTGGGACTTCTAAAAATTAGAATATTTTATATTATACACTATTACATATATGAGATTCTGGGGATGAGCAAGAAAGGAAAAGTTATGGTTTAACAGTGACGTATTTGTGTGTGAAGCTGACAAGAGGTCAACTGTGCTGGCTAATTTCATGTCAACTTGACAGCTAGAGGCATTTGGGGAAGAGGGATCTTCAATTGAGAAAATGCCCTCATCAGATTGCCCTGTGGGCAAGCCTGTGGTGCATTTTCTTGAATGATGATGGATGTGGGAAGGCCAGCTAATTATGGGCAATGCCACTCTTAGGATGGTGGTCCTGGGTACTATAAGAAAGCAGACTGGGCAGACTATGAGCAGTAAGCCAGTAAGCAGTGTTTCTTGTGGCCTCTGCAACAGTTCTTCCCTCCCGGTTTCTACCTCAAGTTCCTGCCCTGACTTCCTTGAATGAAATGATGAACCGTAAGCTGAAATCAACACTTTCCTGCCCACACTGCCTTTGGTCATGGTGTTTTATCACAGCCCTCAGTGGAATTAGCATTTTTTCCTAGATATAGCTAAAGTACTTCATGTGTTGTGGGTAATTCACATGACTGTGACACACAAGCTCACAATGAAAATTCTGAACAATAAAATTAAAATGCCAGATGTATAAGAAAATACTTCTGTTCTAGGAAAGGAGAATATATCAGTAAAACACAGTTACTGCTTAACAGGGAAAACCTCAAACTTGATACTGTATATGAGAATGAAAAAGTACATTCAAAATGTATAATCTGTGAATGCTGGAATAACTGATGACATTTCTCCTCTGTTGCTGGCACCTTCTAACTTTTTGTAAGAGACACATTATATTGTGCGGCTTCTACACACAGGGAAAGCAGGAAGGTGTCATGGGTTTGAGGGTTACAGGTGGTGGAAGAACAGGGTGAGATGACAGGTGACAATGTTAGTTAATATAGTTTAGAAGCCAAATGTAGAAAAACAACAAACTCACCAAAACGTTACAGTGAGACGGATCTGTAACTATAATTGTCAATCTAGTTAAAATTTTAATCGGTCTTGATTTTCCCTATAAACAAAAATACATTATTAAAAAAGATAAAATGCAATTGATTTGTTTCTTTTTTTAACCAGTACAAAATAGTAAAATTTACAGAGGACGGTACAGATCAACAAAGCATGCTTGTTCTACAGGAATATATATTAGCAGAAGAGAATACTACGCACATCTAGTAAACTACACAATGAGATAATTTAATAGCTGTGGGACTTTAGGAAGGATACCAAAAAGTTCGGATGGACAGTAAAAACTGATGAAGAGACGAGCCCTGATGGGAAGGTGAAACTGGCAGAAAGCAGAGAACACCACAGGAAGGCGAGATGTTTGAATTAAATGGGCAGACACTACACTTAAACACTAAAACGCCTACCTGTACAATTGGTAAAGTTGTGAAGAGTTCAGAAACTGCTACTGGCTTTTCAATTTCCTACAACAAATGATAAACAGCAATCCTAGTTACATGTTAAAGAACTAAGCACTACAAAACACTTTAAGGGCATCTCAGAAAAAAAAAATCAAAAAAAGCTAATTTCTGGTATTCAAATGTACTAAACAGCCTTTTTCTTTCTTAAGGAAAGAAACTAAAGAGCAGAGAAGATGCTCAGAACACCAGAGGATAAAAATAAGAACAATTTTTAAAGACAGAAATGACCTATAAGGTACAGTTGTTTAATTAAAAATAAGTATGCATACATATGTATTTGATAGTCTATTAAAGGTGTGGTGGTGGCACACACCTTTAATCCCAGCACTCGGGAGACAGAGGCAGGCGGATCTCTATGAGTTTGGGACCAGCCTGGTCTACAAGATCTAGTTCCAGGACAGCCTCCAAAGCCACAGAGAAACCCTGTCTCGGAAAAATAAATAAATAAATAAATAAATAAATAAATGGGAAAAAAATCAGTAAATGAGTTAATAAGACCATGGTAACAAGATATCGTGGTTATAGCTCATTTAACAGCAATGTAATTTTAAACATCTTTGAATTTGTATGATATATATTAGTTCAGTTATTACTGTAAAAGAGTAAGCATAGGGTGTTTTTAAAGAAGTATAGTTGAGGGTTGGGGATGCAGCCCAGTGAGTAGAGAGGGTGGAGACACAGTGTTGCAAGGTATTTGATTACATTGTGTAAAGATATGTCACTGTGTTTTAATAAATATTAAATGACCAACAGCTATGTAGAAGGTATAGGTGGGACTTCTGGACAGAGAGAACTCTGGGAAGAAGGGGGAGTCACAGCTGGACTCAGAAGAAGCATGACGTGTAGGAGGAGAGGTAAAAACCATAAACTACATGGCAGCACGATGATTAACAGAAATGGGTTAAGTCATAAGAGCTAGTTAGAAACAACCCTCAGCTAAGGCCAAGTTTTCATAATAAGAAGTCTCACTATTTGGGAGCTAGCAGTACAGAGAAGACTTGCCACATGGCAGCTCAGTAAGTAGAGGTAGAGTGATTTCTAAAATGCACACCACCTTGCCTTCTACCCCTGCATCTCATAAACTGGGCATGGGCTTGTAATCTTAGCAGGAGGTCTTCGTTGGCAACACAGTTGAATTCCAGGCCAGATTGGGACACATAAGATTCTGTCTCAAAACGCAAACATGCTTGTGATGACTTATGCTTCACTACCAATTTTACTGGACTTAGAAATGATGATGGAAACACACCTCTGTATTTCTATAATGGTGTTTCCATAAAGGGTTAACCCAGGAGGGAAGACCCACCCTGAATGCAAACTGAGCTATTTCATGGGTTGGAGTTCTAAGGGAACTAACTAAAAAGGAGAAAGTGAGCTGAGCCCCAGCATTCATCTCCTGCTTCCTGACCGAGGAGGAACTGTGACTAGCCACTTCATGCTCCTGCTGCCATACCTTCAAAGTATAAGAAAATAAACTCCTCCTTCCTTGTGTTGTTTTTGTTAAGTATGTGGTCATTGCAACAAGTCCACATTTCTAGTTCCTTATTCCCAACACAAATACAAATATTTGTAAATGTTGTTTTTGATATTTTTTTCTGGGATAGGGTTTCTCTGTGTAGCTTTGTAGACCAGACTGGCCTTGAACTCAGAGATCTGCCTGCCTCTGCCTCTGGAGTGCTGGGATTAAAGGCGTGTGCCACCACTGCTGGGCTTGTAAAGTCTTAATATTTATTTACTAATTAATCAGAGAAATCTTATTTTACCTGTTTCTTTTCCTTAAAGTCAACAATATGATTGATGGCAACAACTGAATATCCAACTGAAAAAAAAATAGATTATTTAAAAAATATTCTTTCTTGTTCAAGAGTATGAGATGAGGTTAGGGATGTAGCTAAGTGTTAGAATGCTTGCTTAGCATACACAAAGCCCTGGATTCTGTTTCTAGACTTGGAAAGTAAGAGGGTTTAATAATATTTACTGTTATGTTTCAGGTTGTTCATCTGTCAAGTGATGTTAACAGCAGACAGCACTTCAGAGTGTCATGAAAATTAAGCATTTTAGAAGAGTGCCAGGCACATATTTAGGCTGTGATTTATGCTAGCAAAACACTAAAAACACCTTGTTTCTGCTTTCCAAACAATATTCTCAGGATTTCCTGCCCCTTTGTTCATTTTTATTCCATCAAGTTTATGTGTCTTTCCGTCACCTTCATTATCATTCATTTCTTCTGCGATGCTCTATTTCCTCCCTTACCCGAAGGTGCAATGGAAGGACGAATCCCTTACACCTCTTTTGAGGTGCTCTACAGTAAAAGACAGGGAAAACGACGGTTTGCCTTATCCTCACAACAGTTAGCACTGCTTGGAAAAGTGCCTCTGTCGCCAACACATCTAAATCACGACTCTTGTCTTTAAGTTGTCTAAAGACCAACAAGATGATAGAGTATTAATATAAAAGATAGTGCATGGTAATGGCAAACTAGTCTAATAACTCCCGAGTTCAAGCTATTAGAGCATCCATTATTTGACAGACCCTATGGCAGGCGACAGCACACATGATTAATGCTCATCCCCAAGGAACTTAAAACTCGGGAGAAATAAGGTAACACCCTCCCCATTCTCTAAGAGTCCACAGCAGTTCCTGCCTGCGACCCAGCTTTCTGTATTTGTCAGATGTCGTCGGGGCCCAAAAGGACTGACGTTAAAAGCACCCACCGGCTTAGGGGACTGTACACCTGGAGTCCAGTCCCAGAGCCTACCATTCATCAGCTCACAGCCCCCTTGCCAACACCTCGACCCCTTTGGCCTCTGTTCTCTCCCTCCGCACGGAAAGACTGTGCAAGCCCAGGCAACGGCAGCTTCCTCAGTAGCCTGTGAGTTTCACACGCCAGGGATCCGGGAGACATAGCAACTACCATTTGCCTCTAGGGAAATGCCGCAATCCCACGAGAGACCCAATAATAGGGCCTGGAAAAACTACCAAGCAAACCGGTGGTATGGGGGCAGCGAGGGGCCGGGCTCGCGGGGCGAAGCCAGTAGACTCACGGTGAGCAGCGGTCTCCACCAGTCCCCGAAGAGCCTTCAAGTCCGAGCCCGCTCTTAGGTCCAAATCTGCGAACGCCGCCATGCTGACGTCCCAGGAGCACCCGCGCGCCAATCTGCGCAGTCGCCCTGTTATTCCTCGAGCATGCTGGGAGTTGTAGGCTGTCACTTTGGCATCCTGGGATTTGTGGTTTTTCCCTTCTCAGTCGTCTACTCTCTGCACAGTATTTCCTGTCCTCTAGAAACCAGCCAAAGTTAGTGTGCTCGAACCTACAGCCTCACTTACTCCCTTTTTGTCGTGATTTGAACGAGAATGTTTGGTAGACACAGTAGGGTCTTTCCCCCCGCCCCTCTCGCCAATACAACAGAGTAGAAAGTGATTCATTCTAAACACACCCATAGAGCATTTTGAGATCAAGCAGACGTCTAAGGTCGTGAAGCCCTGTTCCAAGAGCTGGGTGAGCCTGGGGTGGTGGCCCACGCCTTCAGTTCCAGCAATTGGAGGGCTGAGGCAACTCTATGAGTTTGAGGCCATCCTGATCTACACGGTGACATCCAGGCCAGAGAGGGATACATAAGTCTCCAAAGTAGGTAAGTTGATAAGCACATGAAGAGACATGGGAAAATGTTTTTCTTTCCTTTCTCTAATGTCCATTCCATTCTTTGAAAATGGGCTTAAAAGCCTCTTTGAAGCGCTTGCTCTGGGGCGGATTGTTTTAGTTCTTTGGGCTAAGCCTAAGATAATGGGTCTCTGTTATAGAAACATCTACAACCACAAGATGGCAGGGCACTCTCAAAGATGAAAGCTTAGCGACAATACACAAATTTTCATGAGACATATTGCAATATCATTTGATGTTTCTACTTTAAAAATTAACTTTTGAATATTGGCAGATCAATTATCCGACGGCATAAAATGCTGGCATTCTTTTTAATCCACTTGATGCAGAAGGGCAGTTCTTTACTCCTTTCCATTCTGTCTCTGGCTGGCTAGCATGGGAATCCTTTATGCATTACCAATAAGCTGCCCCAGCCTCCTGCAGCTCAGTAATATGATATCTGAACTGCTGGGTTCTCAAATAAGAAAAGTCTATCGATCAGTAGGACTTGACCATTAGGACAATAACGAAGTGCTGAAAAGGTTTAGAAACATTTCAATTTCTGTACTGATTGCAAACAGTATGAGGACTTCCCCTCTGATCACACTTTGAGTAATACTCTTCAACATAATGGTCTCTAATTTCTTACTGATTTTTGAGAGAATATTTATTATTATTATTATTGTTATTTTGAAACAGGTTATTGTTAGTAGCCCAGGGTGGGCTCAAATTCACAATCTTCTTGTCTCAGAATCCCGAGCGTTGGGATCACAGCTGTGCTTTGCCACACCTAGCTTTGGTTAATTTACATAAAGAAAAAAATTGTTGTTTTGTTTGGTATTTCCCCCAAACAAAACAACAGCAAAACAACTTCTGCCACTAGAGCAAAGTCATACAAAACAAACCACTGGCTTTTCAACAGAATGTCTAGTGCTGGCTTTTGTACAAGTAGAAAGGCATCTTCATACATGATCGCAAAATCTGGATTGGTCAGTAGTATGGCCATAGTGTAGTGGACCTAAGTTAAGATTAAGAATTTTGATTATTTGATGCTGAGATTAGGTTGAAGAGGACATATTTGTTTTAAAGTCGTGGTGATGTTGCTGTGGACTTCACCATTTAGAATCCCTTTGCTCTATACCCTGAGCTTTGTTGAAGAGGAAGAGAAAGGGTGAGAAATAAAATGAACGGATGAAAATAATTGAGCACTATACTGGGGCAGACCATTTGCAAGTACTTATGTGTGTGTGTCTTATTAATTTTCAAAGCAATTAGTATTGTTTTTTCTTAAATCAACATCTATTTCTTTTGACATTTGAGCAACCAAAGAATTAGGCAATTATATAATGGCGGGTTGAAGCATTTGGCTCAGTTGCTGCGCAGTGTATTGTCTCCTGAGATAAGCAAGCAGAGAGGACAGTTGTGGATGGCAGGTAAAGGAGAGAAAATGAAGAGAAATAAAGGGTCAAGGAAGGTGAGAGGAAGCAGGGGATGGGAAGGAAGGAAAAGGAGGCAGAGGAGGAGGCAGGAGTGCGAAGAGGGAAAAGGATGGTATAGAGAAATGATACGGAATAAAAGGTCGAATATTGGCCTGAATGGGTGGCAGAGGCTGCAAGGATGCAAAGTTTGAAGAAAACATTAGAAATTCTTAAATGGAACAGGACCTGTTGCTTGCTGGTTTAATTCTCAAAAGAAGTCCACAGGGTGGTGGTGGTGGTGTGGTAATGGTGATGGTGGTGGTGGTAGTTTCTGTTATCCTGGACTTTAGGAAAATGGTTCTAAATAATTTTCTCTTCCATAATGGAATTTAGCATCAGGTCTAAAAGAAACTGGGAAAAAATGGCTAACCGTGGTGCCTAATAGCATACCAAAGTGCATGCTGGCCTCCAGACTGTTTCAGCATCTCAAGTACCAGTTACAGAGTCCATGCTGGCATCCTGGCTCCTCTCAGCTCTTCTCACCCTGCCGTCTACCCTAAACTTGTCTAGCTCATGAGCTTACCTGTCATAGTGAAGAATATGTTCAAAATTTGAACGCTATTGTCCTTAGAGAATCCATGAGAAAGTTGTTTCAGCTTGTCAGCGGCTAGTGTGTGAAACAGACCATCAAGGCACTTGCTCAAGATAGATAACTTTCGTGAGTGGAAGAGTCAAGCTGATCTTAAGAAACTGTCTATCCTTGTAAATTTTACTGCCGCTATTGTTCTTGCAAGACAATGGGTCCTGGGACTAATCGATAATTTTGCTTCTGTATAAACTGCTTGCTGGAGATAACCTAGGCTGCTACAAGATGTCTATTGTAAAAATTAGTCACCATAGGATGTGAGAGAATTCGGCCCCCCAAAAGCTGTAACTTTGTGGTTTCTCCCTTTATAAGCCCAGGGCCAGTATGAATAGCTGCTGCATCTTGAGAAACCTGAATCTGAGTATTTAATAAAGCCTCTTATTTGTTAAAATTGATTCATGGTCATGGTGAATCTCTGAGTAACCCTGAACTCACAACATCCTCCCCGAAGCTTCTCATTCCTATATAACCCTGACTTTTTGGCCATATGCTCTCTGCTCCTTTTTGACCCCTCTTTCTTGGCACTCTCTCCTCTCTTTCTCTCCACACCCCATCCCCCTTCTCCTCTCATGGTCTGGTTCAGTTTGCCAGACATATTTAATCTACTACTTTCTATTCCTGCTCTGGATTCTTCCAGATGCCTCGGACTGTACTCTCCCCCTTTTGGGGTTCTGAGTTTCATCAATAGAATAATTGAAGAATACACATAAGCAGGCTGGAGGACAAGGAATGGACTCGAGCAGAAACTCGGCAATTTATTAGGATTTAAAAGGAGAACTCCAGGGCAGCCAAGCTGTGACTACATCACAGCTGCCTGCAAGGAAGAGGAGAATAGAAAGAGCAAAGGCAACACTGCCTGGAGTAAAGCAGCAAGCAGGCAGGCCGGGAAGGCCAGCTTCAGAGCAAAAGCTAGGAGGCACACTGCACAGGCTAGACAGTTTAAAGGCTCTAACCAGCATAGAGGTGGTTACTGCATTGGGAGTTAGGCCTCAGAAAGGTGGGTAGATCCAGCCGCACCTCATGAAGGCTCAACCAGTAGACACTGCCTTAGTGGGTGGAAATTTTGGCCAGGAAAAGCACATTAAATGGAAAACCTGCCTTCCTAGGGATGGTTCCCTGATCTGGCAAGTTTGATTGGCCACCCAGCGGCCGGCCCTGTTCTTTACCGGGCTTCTTGTGCTTTTCTTCTGGGGCCTCATGACTTCCTTCCCATCTTTCTATCCTGGTGTAGTCTCAGTTTAAACGTGAAAGCCAGTGTTGTTCGAAGACAGGTGGGCTCAGGATGCAGGAAGGGCCAGAATTTCAATTTGAGTTCACAGACAGGAAAACAAACAAACAAACAAAAAAACTCGTGTCCCGGCTCATGGTAGCCAGGCTGGAATTCTCTACAAGCGGGAGGGAGCTCAATGTGCACAGGATTCACTTTCAACAGCCTGTATAAAACCAGACCTCAAGGAGAGCAGTCGCTTGACTCAGTCTACTTACTAAAAATGCAAACCCCGTGGAGAAGCACACACAAAGCCTAAACTAGAATGATACCCTCCCCATCCACAGGTCAGTCCAGCTGACCAAACCAAAGCAAAACTGAACCAAACCAGCAAGGCACTGCTGCTCCACGCCATGTGCAAACGGTTGCTCAGACAACCCTTTTTACTTTGGGCACATTAACATGGGGGCATTTATTAAGGCTAGAGAAGAGAGCAGATCCTAAGCAAACTAGCATTTGTAAGTGTAATACTTAGAAGTCCTATTGCCTAATGTATTGTGGTAAGGCTTAGAACTGAAAGGACAAGTCCCATTAAAAACAAAACAAAATAACAGCAAAACCCCAAAGAAACCCAATTTACTTCTGGCATTTTTCATTGCAGCTGACAAGTGAATAGATGCCCCAAATCTACTTGTGTTTCTGAGAATTTTACTTGTTTGAATTATGTATAAACATGTGCATTTGTGCAAGTATGTGCCTTTGCCTGAGGAGGCCAGAGGTATCAGATCCCCTGGACCTGCAGTTATAGCTATTTTGAGCCACACAACATGGGTTCTTTGAATCCAACTTATGTCCTCTGTAAGAGCAGTAAGGGCTCTTAACTGCTGAGACATCTCTCTCTAGTCCATGTTGTGAGAATTTCGACAAGACTAAAAATCCTCTAGAAATGGCACTCCTCAGAGGTACTATCTTAGAAGTAGCTTATTTTTGTGTAGGGAGATGAATTTTGAGAATTTGAAAGTAGACTCCTTAGAACTGGTAACCATGACAACAGATGGACTTCCTGCAGGGGTCAGTATTCACTTTAGACTTATGAAACACAAGCACAATGTGACATGGTTTCATCAAAGCACAAAATTTAAGCCAATTTATTGTACCATTGACCAAAGACCACTTTGGGCTCTAAATTTAAAAAACATATACAAATGATAGCTAAAGCATTAATCATAACCCTCACATAGTTCATGCTTCAAATAACTATGGTGAATATTGATAGATGTTTGAACTATCAAAAGGCATTTACTTGCAAATGTCTCCAAGCTCCATCTTAGGTAGGGTATTAGTGAAGAGTGAACTGGATTCTTTCGGTTGATGGCACTATGGTCCCTTTAAAAACTCCGAAGTACTTTACCTTCCAAGGAAACATATAAACTATCAGTATAGCAAAATGATATCTTTGGGAAACTCATTAGACTAGCAGTAATCCAGCCCATTTTCTAAAAATTACAACTCATTTCTACTTATGAAAATTAAGGACTCACTTCCTAGTGCAACACAAAACCGTGGAGATGATACTGGTAGATATGGAGGTTTGCTGGGTACTTGCCCGGAGTGCTAGTATCTGAGAACAGGAATCGAGCAGATACTGAGTTACATAAGAAGCAGAGACAGGATAGTAAGGAAAGATTCATGTCCATGGGAGGAGCAAAGAGGAAGGTCAG